CAATACTCACGGTGTGTTTTTCCATCTTTCACAGATCAAGACTTCATGGGCTTTTTAGATGAAAAATTATCAATACAAGATGAAGCATCAGCACAAAACGCAGTGACACATTGCCAACATGCTCTTTTTCCAGTTGCCAGCATCAATAATTCAGCCACTAGCTCATAACTTTATTTTCAAAGCATAATTGAGGCCAACCAATGTTTTCTTCAGCCATATATATGTCGAGCAATCCTTAAACAATAAGAGGAGCAGTCCATTAAGCTTTTAACATCTTCTCTGTTTCATGCTCCAGTAGATACTGGAAAGTCTGGATAGTGGGGCCTGTTTCACTCTCTTTGCGCTTTGTGCTCAGTAATGTGAAAGGTGGAAGGGAGGGGGGGTCTTTTCTGGTGTTTTCTCTGCAGCCGTAGCTACTGTATGCTCGAAAGTCTTAAAGTCATAATTGTGGGAAAGCTGTGGTAAGTAAATGAAAAGTTGTAGACTCCACATAAGAAGTGTGGTTTGGAAAGGAAGGGGGTCTTGGGGTGAGGTGAGGTTTCTGTACCTGCAGTTGTAGCACAGCACATGCATGTGTGTCATGTGATTTACAGTGTGTCTAACTGATTTTCATTAAAGTAATTTGTAGATATCTAAGCTGCCTTTAGACATAAATCTTTACATTGCAGAATGCTACTTTAAAAAGGACCCTCCTCCAACCAATGACTCATTATATGACCTGAGTACACTGCTCATTTGTTTTGTACTACTGCTTAATAAATATTGATTTACTATTTTAATTACATGTTAATCTCAAAACACACAGGTGCGAGGGTTATGACTCTCTCAAGCCAAGTGCAAATTTCCTGTTTGCAAATATTTATTGAGGATGGCATCCTGAGAGGGTTATAAAAGTGAATGGCAATCATTAAACAGAGACTTTCAGTCTACAATATCTGCAGAAGTGTCAATATCAGCAACACAGGTTGGCCCAGCTACTAATCAATAACTAAAAAAAAAAAATCAGGACAGCCATAATATAATTTCAATTCAAAGTCTTTCATTTTGATCAATAATCAAAAGGTTTATGAAATTTGGAAATAAATGGGATGCAATTCAGGCTGAGGTGAACACTTGGAATTCTTAACTCACAATGTTTTTTGGGATAAAACATATCTAAATATATAAGAATCAAATTAATTGCGATAACAACCACTATCTATGTTCTATAGCTCTTGTGAACTGCTTGCCATCGCCATACTAAATTATTTCCCAAACTGATTGCTCTGTGAAGCGTAACTTACCAATCCACCGGAGGGAAATCAAACTCAAGAGTGTTAAAATGGGGGCAAATAATGGAGCAGATCACTGGAGCTATTTTCTTCTTTCTGCAAATTGCTTATCTCCCACTGGCATTAAAATATGTCATCATAACTAATTTGACAGCAGCGTATTAATGAAGGATCATACACTAACTTACTGTTGAATCTGGTTATAAGCTACAGTAGGTGGCTGGAGAAAGTTGGGGATTTTATTTTCAATTTGTTTTTACTTCTGCACACATGGATTTACATATAACCTGTAAAAAACAGTGTTCTTAAGCGTGATTACGAATCAGTCAGGAACAAATCATGTGCACCCACCTACCTCAAGTAACACTTGCACAAAATACTTACTTATTTATTCCAGCATCTTTGCACTATGCTCCAGCGCACTGTGTATTGGTGTACATGTATGCATGTATGTGTACCTGCATATCACATCCACCTCCAACATGTACATAAATAATGATAATAATAATTTTACTCCTGCATCCTTTGCACTCTGCTCACTGTACTATCTGTAAATATGCCTATATTGTTTTTGTTTCTGTTTATAGTGTGTATATTTGTGTTCCCTATACTGTAGCCTATGTCTGAATTTATTATTGTGTTATTGTATAAGTAAGCACATCCTGAGCAATGTAAAATCCAAAGTCAAATTCCTCGTATGTGTACACATACCTGGCGAATAAAACTGATTCTGATTCTGATTCTAAAGAAAGCCAAAAGAGTTCTTGGTGATCTCTTCATAGCAGGCCATCATGCTTTGGTTTGGTTGCCATGAGATTTTGCAGGGTTTTGTTCATCAAATAAAAGAAAAATAAAGCTACATGAGATGACTGCACTGGTTACATCCTTCACTTTCCTTAAAGTTGTCATTTTCACACTTGGACATCGCATACTTTAATTTAATTAGTAAGGTCAAACTATAAAAGTACTTAAAATAGCTGGTATGCATAATGAAATTGCACAGCTTTTGAGTGTGGATCAAGGTGAAACAGCTCATGAGATAGCCTGGACTAAATAATTTTAAAAAACAAAAACAAATAAGGAAACATTTTAAAATTGAAACTGGCAGAACTATTGTAGCATTGCAGGGAAAGACTATCTGCATTGGCACAACTTACTCTGATTTCTTGTATACTTTCAGTGAAAGCATAATATACAGTTTAATTTATTGAAATCTAATTCTATAATCTTTTAGAATGGAAAAACTTGCAGATTCTTGGGCCGTCATTGCACACAATTGCCTGGTTTAGGGTTATACTACAGCAATTAACCTGAAGAGTTTAGTATGCATCACTCCCCCTCCTCTCTTTCAGTCTTGCTCCCTCCCTTTTAATTGTTCTTGCTTTTTACACCTTTACTTCAAATCTTTCCATCACAGAGATATACTGAAACTGAGAATGCATTAGGATGATTGGGAAGCTGGAAAATTAAAGGGAAATACTTTCGCAGGGAAAAAGTTGTAAATGAGGAACAGTAAACAACATCATTTTAATCTCATCTGGCCGAAACCAAACAGACGGTGTGTAAAATATTTACTTTAGATAGGAGTGTGCAGGAGTGTGTGTTTGGGAATAATCTGTGCAGCACGTATTGTTTGCATGGTTTGCTCCTGACATCAAGGTTGCTGGTTTAATTGAGCCTGTGCTGGAACCGGCGCTGAGAGAGCAGGCAGAGGAACATCGATAAACTATGAAATGGTTCCAATATGGTCAATCGATGAGGCTTTGTGAGCGGCTCTCTTGGGGATTTGATTTTACTCTCAAACAACAATCCAGGATCTCTACTCTTCAAAGGCAAACTCCATCTTTGCTGTTATTGTTGCTTCCTCCATGTTTGAGTGATGTCACTGAGGTCGATTTTATCCATGTCCATAAAGGCTCTCCCACACTTGAATCACCCAGGAGACGGCTTCTGTAGGTCTGTGCAATGGTAACAACAACCAATAAAGTTCAATCTCCCATGGTAATGGCCAATTGGGTTTGTTCCCATTATTGGCCCTCTTTGCAGTGGTCAACAGATGGAGAGCTGGCATCACAAGTTACACTCCAACCTTAAGGAGGCTCGGCTCTGTCTCCAAGTGCTTCTCTCCCTCAGCTTGCGTTGGCCTGTACATCCCTCCATCATGTGCAGCTCCTGTATAGGGAGAGCCGTCCCACTAGCGTCACAGGAGCGCTGCCAGAGAGGGCTAACCGTCTAACCATTTCAGCTAATTGCCTCATTAATGATTCACCGGTGTTAGGCTGCTCTAGCACTTCGCTGTGGGGAGCAAATTGTTCTGATTGGTTTGCCTCTGTCAATTATTGATGAGGCAGTGAGCTGAAGTGCTAACACCTGGCTTTGGAGGTCCAAATGGCCCTGCATTCCCATCACATACTCTGTTATCACACAGCCTCGAACCACATTCAGTCTTGAAGGGCTGAAGTCTTGACTGCTGCTGTTGTCTGAGAGTGGATGTAGCGTGCCCCGGGGCAATGGCTCTGATCTCAGTTGTGAGGATATTAGCTCATAGAACATGGCTCACTGCTGTGTAAAATGGTGGACAAAACAGAGACATATAGCTTGCGGTGATTTGCGCTGTAAGTGGTGGAAGGCAAACAAAGAGAGCGGCCCCTGTATATATCTGTGTGGGATGATACCACAAATAATAGTAATACTGGAAATAACTGTTCATAATACTGTAATAATGGTAGAAATAAAATTATAGTCTTGACTAGATATTTTATCAACACATTGCACAACTTGTCTCTGGCTCTATCCACGTCTTTGGGAATACTAAAATTGTGCCAAGTTAATATATAAATGAAACACCTTATATAACACATTTTTTTGAACAAATTGGATGTATACTACTGAGATAATAACTTCAGACTTTACAGGCATGAGTGGAGCTGTAACGGTATGCAATGCAGTGTCAATACTTGCTTTGTTTATGGTGATTTATAATGGGTGCAGGCTAGACACCTTTACAGTAGGGTCATGTAATTGGATCTCCAGTAGATAGTAGCTGAATTCCACTATAGTCTCTATGTCTAATGGCCCACCCACAAAGCACTCCTTCTGCCTACATGAATCATCCTTACCCAGTGCACAAGCTGGGGCCTCACCAAACTGTATTTCAAGACACAAAAACAGAATAAAGAACAGTATTTTTGTGTTTTAATGGAGTTAAACATGACGAGTTGAACTAATGTAGAGGGAAGTAGACACAGAGAGGACTCCTCCACACTGAATTTGCTCATCTCTCCTTGGCCTTAATTGAAGCTGATTAAAGAGTCACCCCCCATGCTGACGCCACTGTCACTCTGAATCTCAGCCAAGTGGGCTTACCATGTACACTCACAGGGTGGTCACTCTGCCTTTGTTTTTACACTGGCACCAGCGACAGCAGAGCCCACGCCACCCCCCCCCCCCCCCCAAATACAGTGACAGTGACTCACTGTGTCTCACCATAAACCCTGGACGGAGGGACAAAGCTAAGACAAGGGTCCTGTAGAGCTCACTGAATGTGGGCTTCACGCACCATCTCATGGTGCACTTTATGTGTGTGTGTGTGGGGTTGCATGGAAGCACTACACTAAAGTGTGTGTGAGAGAACTGTGGTCCGAGTCACACTTTAATGACTTTTTTCTTTTCTTGTCCATCCCCTCCCTCCCTCTCATCCTCCCTCCGTCTTTCCCTCTCTGTTCACAGATAACCCAACGACTGAGCAGTGATGACATCAGAGCAGCTGACCAATTGCACGGAGACACCTACAAAGCACAACATTCAAAAATGACTTCACTAAAGAACAAAAGACAAGGCTCCCTGAAATCCCTCAAAATCCCCACAGTGAAATTCTGGAAAGCCTCTTACTACTCCTGTTTCCCTCCCTGATATTTTACCTCCAGCTTTTTTCTACAAAAGATGAAAAAAAAAAAAAAAAAAAAAAAGGAATAACAAAACAAAGAAAACCCAGACAGACTCATACTCATGAGATGGTTGACAACGTCAGACACTGGAAGGACTATTTTCTCTTTGTGGGAAGATCATTGGTGCATGTTTCTGTAAATAGATCATAATAAAACCCTATTCTTATTCCTAATATAGGAAACATACCAAGTTGCTCTCACCAACATAAACCTTCATGACTGTGGATAAAGAACACATGATTCAGTATTTTCCATATAAAGTCAGTATTCTTCTTACCTCCCCAGAGACCATGTAATTATCATTTCCAGTATCATTTCGCTACTCTTTGGAGCTATTTGGACTGTAAAAATTGTACTTCCTATTCTTCTTATTCTCTTTACATAACGGCCTAGTCTTCCTCTCCAATATCCACACTAGTATATGTAAATAGAGATGAATGAAAACAGCATGGAACAGACTATAGTGTATATTTACCACTCCCCTAGTAGATCATGAATCTAAATATGTGGATATTTCAGACAACATTTTTAAAAGTTTAAAACTTGAACATGTTTTCCGATAGTAGACGTAGTTCCAGGTATCTGGACACTTTTCCTATGTATTTGAATAGATGCATAAAGGCATTAGCTATAGGTAATGTTATTATTTGACAACCTTCCAAGGCAGCAGTTTCTTTGGTTTCATCAATCAGGTCCATAATGGAAACAAACTAAAAAAGGGAAAGCAAGCAATTCACCCAAACCATGAGTCTACCTTGGCACTTCTAAATAATGTTTTTAATGTTTGACATTTTGTTTTATATTGTTACTGACAATTTTGCCTACTATGAACCTATTTATTCTTTCCCATTGCAATAATTGCCCTCTCCCTCCCCATGTGCTGGGTTGTAACTACTGTAGCAAAGCTGCTGTCAGCCTGAGAGGGCTACTTATTTCTTTGCACGGTTTGAAACGGTGCTCCGAGCCTGAGCCTACACACTGGGGGAAGAGAACACCTCATTGATTGCGTTGTAGCCATGAGGACTCTGACCTCCGTCTTCTATGGACTATGAATATAACTAAATGGACTGACAGATAATATGCCAAGCCAATGAACACACAACCTCAAAGGTTACTACCCCCATCACTGGTGAAGACAGAAAACCTTTGCATGGACAGCAGGGGAAATACTAGCTTGTTGAACACCTCATCTCCACCATCTTGCATCCTCTACCTCTCAGTGTGTGCTGTGCATCCAGAAAATCATGACCCCCTACCTCCAATCCCCCATACTATCCCCACAGTCCACTTCTCCACTGCATGTCCCCAGAGCCTCATGAGGAGAGCGTCATCCTAGCGTTGAATGCTACTGATGGACGCAATGGAACGGATGGGAAAAAACAAAACCTTGTTCACTTTGACACACACTCAACAAATACAAGCGCATGCATACAGATGCACAATCATACACAGTGCCACTCAAATATGTTGCTGTATATATGTACAGTATATCCACTAGTATGTATAGTCTCAGATGCTGTCCTTTGCATGCTGACTTGTAGATGGAATGTGAACCACTATTCATAGAAGAGGCTGTGCAGGTAGGCCTAGTCACTGGATTGACTCTCTAAACCAACACCAGCTCTTTGTCCGCTTTACATCTCCTTACTTTGATTTGAGAAAATGTATAGTGAGATGACATAAAATGCTTTAACACTCCCGTTCCTATTATGAAAGGTACTCTCCAGCCATACAGCAGTGCTGATAGGTTTTGAACTCTTTGAAGGGACACATACAGTAACCCTGCCTTTGATGTCAGACAGAACCTGGACATAGTGAACGTGGGTAGGAGAACAGAAGAGGGAAAGCAAACTGGGGCGCTCCAATTAAGTGGCAGCACACAAAGTGGCATGGGGCATCCTGCCAGCAACTGTCTATTCATCCTATGTCAAAGGGATTTGCACATCTCAATGAGTCTATGTGCTGCCAGAGAAGTCCGAGAGCAGAGCAGAGAAAGACAGAGAGGCTTGGGAGAATGGGTGGGAGAAAAAAAAGAGACGATTTTGACTGTACTGAGCTTTACGTTCAAGTATTTTCCTGGTCTGTCCACCTATAGAATGGTCTTTTCTGACGGGCAGCCACCTTGGAGAGTTCAATAACCCCTTGACCTGTTACACTGTCACGCAGCTCTCTGGGCTGTCATGACCTCACGTCCTGTCTGAGGTTAACTTTGTGTTAATGAGCATGGCTCTCAGCTCAACCAGATGTTCAGCCTTGTGGTTAAATAATTCGTACCCTTCCATCCCAATGATTCTTCAGTGCCTGACCACAACAGCTGCACTCTTTCTGGACACAACTCCGCTTACAACCTCAAAATAACTGAACTGATCAAAATCTCATCAATGCACCGATATCCTTTGCCAAGAAAAATAGTAATTTTAGCAGAATACTGTAGGTACTGTAGATTACTGCATTTGTATTCCCAGTTGTGCCGCCAATTTATTTGGAGAAATCTTCTTAATTCAAATACTGTCAGAGCACACTGAATCACATGAGGGTATTTACAGTCAACATGTAAACAAACTTGAAATTAGGACTTATGACTTAGCAGTGATTATTTAAAGAAGATTTAAAATACAGCAAGGATGAAGATGTCACTCAAACATGAGACATCATATGTGGTTGGAAACAAGACATTGAGCAAATGCTGATCTTCTCTGAGCCTCAAGGCTTTCCACTTTCTTAGAAGTCAAACAAAGCCCCATTTCTGCGCAGCTGCAGACAATGTGTGACAGGTTGATTTGCTTATCTGTGCTTTTGAATGCAAGGTAGCATGTGTGTTTTTATCTGGCAATGACCCTGACTGGGGTCAGTGCATGTACATAAACATGCATAGATGAACATGTTCATGCAGAATGGTTGAAAGTGCATACAAACGCATAGAAGCACATCCTTGCATTTTCTCTCTTTTGCTCACACACACACACACACACACACACACACACAATGCTAATCTAAACAGCAAGGCTGTATGTAAACAGATCGCCGACATAATGGGATTGTTCAGTGTGCAAACAATAAGCTGTTAGCGTAATCACAGGTCAAAGATATATTACCCAGAGGGCCACGCTGTAGGTATATTAACATGATGGATATGTGGGAGAGAGGAGGGGGGCAGGGAGACGAAGGATATAGAGCGCTACTGATTCAGATTTACCCCCTATTGGGCCACGTCCGCTGCCTTTCTCTCCTCTACCATCCTCATATGGGCCCCACTTAATCAGCCTTTTTCATTCTCTTCTTGCTCCTTCCCCCATTCACCCACCTCTCTCTTAGGGTTCTCTACCTTTCTTTTCCATTTCTCTGCTCTAATACCTCACCCCAGCCTTTTTCAATGTTGATTCCTTCCATCCTCCTCCCATTTCCCCCTTGTTCTTGGTAGATAAAATCTCTTTTAGCACAGCAGTCCATCCATGTCTGTGGTCAGTGTGAGAGCAGGATAAAGCAGCTCCACAATCTTGTTTTTGGATTAAGCAAAGAGGGGTCTGAGTCATATTGGGCCATTTAGTTGCTTCACCCATGTCTGATACATAAACAAGAACAGGGAACATATAGAGATATTCATATATGTTTATATTCCTACGAACAATGTGATAAGTAAAACAGCTACATAGCTGATAGAGATGAACTCACATACCCATGCCCTATTATCTCCACTTAACCATGTTGAAAGTACAGTGTTTGTGTGTCTCAATGAGTAGCAGCATACAAGTGCCATGTCAGTCAAGATAAATCCTGTGTAGCTTACTCCACTGCACATACAGCTAATTAACTTATCTCCGCTTTATTTGATTACCATCAAGCCCATTCTCTCAGCTGGTTAATAAGTCTATGTCCTCCTGACTAAACACTCCATTAGTGTCATCACTGGCTAGCTTGTGTGTGTACTGCGTACGGCTGTGGCCCACTGACGCTGAAACACATTGGGGCCAAGTTACAGAGCAAATACAGAGGCAGAACACTGGAGAGAAAAACAAGCTGTAGGCCAAACAATAGGTGCAAAGTTGGCCAGTCTGATGATGAGAGTAAGACCCTCTGCCTCATGGACGTTTGGACAACACAAAATACAACACAATGACAGACACAGAGATACGTTATGTCTAAATATTTTAAGCAGTTGTTAAAGTTCAGCCAGGCTTAATTTAAAAATTTCATTCTGACTAGTGAGAATGGGACGTTGACAAGTTGAAATGCTACTGTGATGATATATGCAACATTTTCAGCTAGTCAAAAGCTAAAACAGATTCACTTCCTGTTGTATTACAAATTAGAAGGAGCCGTTTGGGTCATTTTCTCCCTCAGAGAATGTTACATGACTTAAAGTTGCTTTTACGGCTTGATTGGACATCGGACTTTCCCTGCTTGAATCTTCAGAGCAAACAATTATAAAAACTGCCTTAGAAAATAACCAGTTCTTTGATAAAAAAAAAAAAAAAAGAAGCTAAATGGTGGGAGAAGTTAACTACCACTCCCAATGTACCATTCAGCAAGAGACATCCGTTCAACAAGCTTAACATAACTCTGTTATATGCGTAACAAAGAGTACAAAAATGTTGTTGAAAGAAATTCATAGTGGGAAAAAAAGACTTCCTGCCGCTCAAACGCACATCCATGCTCTTCCCCCCCACGATTAACAGTGACCTCAAGCCAGACATGGTTGGGGTAGCGGGAGTGGGGTCAAAGGTGAAAGAATTACAGTGTGGCAACCCGTGTCAACTACTCTACTTTAATCCTGACCTCCAAGCCGCCCCCAGTCTCTTGAAACATGATTCATGTGTATGAGCTCAACATAGAGTGTGTACATCCTCACATTACTCACAGAATTACTGACTTGTTTGGGTATTTTGACTGAAAAAGAACTTGACAGCCTGTAGCATATAAGGGAGCATGGATGTGGATGTAGAGATACAGTGGACGAGGGTTGTTCTAACAGCCAGACTGAGCAGACCTCCTTGTGTCACATAGCTAATGATGGGGATGAATGATACAGCCTTTAAAGCCCTTACTCCCACCTCATTCTGGCCTGCGCATAAGCTTGTGCTCTGGGTGAGCAGTTTGCTGTCAAGCCCCTCACTGAGATGAGATGGGCTCCCAAGAAGATTTGAGGGAAGGGGGGGATGGAGAGAATCGGATTAACCAAAATGCCTCAATTGGAGTAAATGCTCTGGGCTGACCTCAGTGTAATACCATTGATAAATGCTGTAAACCAAATCTTTAGCATCTTATTAGGTAATGGAGGAAAACACATCCTTTTAGCAACCATTAGCAGCGGTGAAATAGCCCAAACCTTCACGTAAGGGCTGTATGCAAATATATAAAAACACAAACAGGCTAAATTTGTCATAAGCTATAGGGACTTTTACAAATACCCATGTTGCCACTATAGAAATAAATAAATAGTGAAATAAATCGGCAGAAGCTGTGGACAGGTGGCATTTCAGCCTGCACCGTTTAGCTGTGCAGTCTGGTTTCTGACAGCTTGATTTAGTCTCCCTGCACTTGAGCCAGAAAAGAGAGAAAATTAACGGCAGCAAAAACAGCTTAACTAGATTCCAATTTGCCGGCTTTGAACCACAATTGATGAAGCTAATGTATATGAAAAACACAGAATAGACTTTTTTGGTAGCAGTCCCAAGCTCATTGTGATCACGCAAAGATTGTGCACCCTCATTGAGGGTAAGGTACACGGGGAAGATGCTTTTCCTTACCCTTACTCTGCCATCTGAGCCTGGTTCTTTTTTAAGGGGACATTAGGGTTTGTCTTTAGGGTGCAGAGCGGAGATTAAAGTGGCTCAAGGGGAGATGCTAGGACGCATGCTGTTCCCCCTGCTGTGAACAGGGTGTAATCCTTCAGTTTCAGAGAAGTGAAAAGTTTGTGGCATCCAGAAAGTTACGCACACATCGCTTCTGGGCCCCCTACAGAGCAGAGAGTGTGTGACAGCAGGGGATAACCATATGCTATCAAAGTGTTCTTCAAAGCTCCAGTCTTTAGTTCACTAAATTATACAGTATCATCACATACACCTGACAAAAATAGAGGAAACATGATTATGCAGCTCAACGTACTAACAGAAAAAACTATACACATCTTAAATATATGTTTTAAGAAATGTGTTGCCTTGGAACTGTAAAAGGGGCATTTATTTATTTATTTATTTTCTAGAATTACTTTGTTTAAACAGTAGCCATGTTCCAGTAGTGTGGGTCAGCTCATGATTTTGTATTTACATGCTTTTAAAACACTGCTGCTGGTGGACAATTAAAAATTTATGATTCCTATCACAACGGGCCACCCCTCTCCGTTACCAGAGGTTAATTTGTGCTCGCCCCTCATTTCAATTGTACTGTAGTAAATGTCCACATTATTTCCCACATGGGCCTGGATGAGGGGTTTGATTATCCAAAGGTAGGCCTTGGTTGGCTCCGTTATTGTCAGAGGGGTCATAAGCTGAAGTAACGGCTTCTAGGGTCTTATTGCTATGGCAATCAGCCCCTTGCCACTTGGCCTGCATGACCCCAGTCAGAGATAAGCTTTATGGGAAAGCACATTAACATGCTCCTGCAGTCACCTCCCTCCTTTATCAAAGGCAGTTCTGTGAAATCAAGTGTTTATGGACCCCCAGTGAGGGTATAGTGCTGCTGATTGCCTATATTAGAGGTTGAGTGTAAATGAGCTGGAGGTGGACACAGGACCTGTTGTAGCGGGGAGAGCGGAGGACGATACTGATGTTATTCCAACTAAATGAGCAATATCTTTAATGACCTTAACATCCCATGAGCAGGTTACTAGTCCCTGGATTACAAATATTGTCTGCAGTCTAAATATATCCATGTCTTCCATTCTTTCTACAAAAACTGACACTAACATAACATAAGAGGCCTAAAATGTGAATATAGTTATGTTATATTTTGTCATTAATTAGATTAGCTCTACTGTATAATGTAGGTAACAGACATTTCCTTTACTGTCTTCTCCTTTGTCTTACACTGAACCTGCTAACTAAATCGTCCAATATACTGTATGTCTTTTATATTTTCTTGCACACATTGATATGGGTATTTTACTGTGGCTAGGAACGACATCGATGTCAGTAGTGTGTGCCTGCTTACAGCCTGATCACTGGTGAAAGATCCTCTCAGTATGTGTGCAATGACGGATGGTGATAGCCCTGTGTTTTTGTACACATCGGGGGGCCCTACTGTTGCCACTGGACAGATAGAGGGAGTAAGAAAGAGAAAGATGTAGCCGCAGCTTAATGTCCTTCTCTGGTGCTGTGCATGCTCTTTCCTATTTGCTTTTCCCTTCATGCCACGCTTAACATCGTAAATTAACCTTTCCAAGCCCCCTGTGCTCGGAGACTGGAACACAATACAGACAAAGGGGGGAAAAATAGATCTGCGTTATGCAATGAAGTAGCACTGGTCAGAGACGTAGCCTGTTACAGAATTGAGCTATTCCTTTTTCAGCGGTATGGAATAAAACAAAAACACTTTGTTCAGTGTAGCAAACATTCTATTTTATGTGCATGTCCTGTGTACTCTGCAAATCGGTATGAGGCTGCTTTTTTGTTCTCCATCCTAGAAATGTAAATGAAACACATGAAAGAAAATGTATTGTAGATCCTTCTCTTCTTAGTTCAAGTCTGTAAATAAGATGTAAATACCAAACAGCTATGCATGCTAATATACAAGCAATTTGTTCAGGTACTTTTGTAATCCAGACTTCTCATATGGCATGTGATAACAAAAAAAAAAAAAAAAAATCAAACATGGAAAAACATAATAAATTGTGAACACGGATATGGTTTGTAAACAACTTCAAAACTGGAAAATATATGTCTTTGCTGTTAATGTTTTCTTACTGATAACTAATGCATTGGCCTGCCATTTACTACAGTGCTCTGCTCATGTTACTTGTTATCTTTTTTTATGTTTCATAAGGTAGGGCTGAGGCAAAAAGGACCATAAATCACTGGTTTGTGGAATAGTCGGGCTGGGGAATAATAAGATGAGGGGAAGGATGGCAGTCTGACCATACTCTTTGTAGTTATTTTCATTGCCACTGCACGTTCACATGCATACACTTAATAATTGATTACATATCCTTAGTGTCTAACACAGCCAATAAAATGCCATGGCAAAACCGTTGCTTAAAAGCAATAGAAACTGGGCTGCCATTTGAGTTATCACACCAAAAAGACAAATCACCAGCTTTAAAGTGTGCTGTTATTTTAAAATGGCATACATTTGTTTCTGATAGACGGACGCGAAACCATTAAACAACCTATGAAGCTGGTACAGCAAGCAATTTTGACTCATTCCAAATTCTCCAAATCATGATTTGCAAGGGAAAGAGATTTTGAAAACTTTGACAGTTTTTTTCTAATACTATGTCCAGTGAAAACGATGATTGTCTGTATGCCAAATTTGCCTCTGCCCTAGCAACTCTAATGTGACATTTTATGAAGATAGCGATGGAGGAAATGGGAAGAAATCTTTTTTGGTTTCTAAGAGTGTTTATTTTCAACCATGTTAGAACCATGTTAAATCCCAAGGCGCTCATGGTAGATGGAAGTGTCTAATTTTTAACCTGTGCTAAAGATATTTTAAATTTAATAAATAATTATTGTAACAAGAAAACCGTGTCATATTCTGAACTATCCTCTTAATTAAAGTGCACATTTCACAAGTTGTTGTACAGATGTGAAGGATAAAATTAATGAAGACAGAGAGGCAAAGACAAAGTGAAAAGAACAAAAGAGTTTAGTTATAAAGGGCCTTTAGGGGCATTTCTTTCCTTTCAGTGCTCTCTCTTCTATAAGGGAACTTAAGTGCTGGGTCTTTTCCCTCATTATATCCATGATGAAATACAAAGAAACCAGTCTCAGAAACAATGACCTTTGACCCCTGGCTCCCAGCTGAGTAAGATGGAGCAGATAGGGTTAAGATTCACTTCACCTTGGCTTTGGTCAAACAGACTTGCGTTGGTTATTTTATCTCGCTTTTGCTGCTCAGCCACCAAATATAACGCCACACATTAGGTTATCTACCACATAGCAATAGAGATTTTTGTGATAGTTGTAGTCTCATTTTGTGGTTTATCAGTGAGTTTTCCCCTTTTCTTCAACTAAAGGCATGGCTAATAGTTTTGTGAAGGTTATCAGACTCAGTCTTCAATTAATTATAAGCCACTCCCACTTGTACAGGGCGAAGGCAAGACGTGGCTGTTTGTGTTTTGTACGTTTCAACAAATTGTTTACAAGAGGACACATTCAATTAGTTATTTCATTATCGCCCTAGGTGTAATCAATTGACAATGCCGATAACAAAGCCACATCAATTTGTGAGCCGACTCCAGCACATTTCTCTAAATGATTGAAGAGCACTGCTTTTTGCTGCTCTTGTCTGCTCCGGTAGTTCAGCAGAAACCCAAATAATGACCCATATCTCCATGCAAACCATCAGAATCTTTTCTGTCTTCACAGAGTCACTGGTCATGGCCAGATATTCCACATGTTGGCTCTGCCTTCTGCAAAGAGCGAGGTTCTGTTTTTTTCTTTGCCCCCTCCCTTGAGTGATATATGGCAAAGAAAGAAAAAGGCACTCGCTTTCTCTCTGTCGTTCCCCTCTCTCCCCTCCTGTAGCATAGATAAACAATGCGAGTGACAGTCTCTCATCACTCAAGAGGCTGAATCTCTGGCCCTGACCCGATAACATCAAGTGTGTGTGTCACCTGTCAAGTGGCTTCTGTCACACTTCAGTGGGAACTCAAAAACAAGAGTGTGTGTGTGTGTGTGTGTGTGTGTATGTGTGTGTGTGTGAGTGTGTGTGTGTGTGTGTGAAGTCGATTGGGGGATGGTGTTGTGGGTTTAAGAGTGCCTGTTGGCATGCAAGCGCAGGCCTCTCAAGGCATGAGTGGAGTTGAGAGTGGCAAAGAGGGGTGGGGCGGAGGGGTGCCCGTGAAGGTATACCAGGAAACTGAGCAAGAAGGGGGAGGGCTAACGACCCAAATGAGAAGGACTTGTGCAGACACTGTGAAACCATCTCATTTTCTAGGCTCCGCTGATCTCATTCTCATGTTCAGAATGGGCAGGGTGATCTGGGAACGCAATTATTTTCACCTATAAAAGGCAACATATGCCAAGATCATAAAAGTTCTTATTGGACAGTAATTTATTAAAGCAAGTCATAGAAATGGAGAGAGGTAGGGCACAAGCTATAATATGAAGGTGTCGTTCTGCTTCTCATTAAGGGCCCGAGTGTCAGTGAAATTCAATACCCCAGGTGCCTGACAGAGGAGGGATAGATGAGCTAAACAGAAGATGTTCTCTCTTTATAAGATCCTGGGGAAATGGGAACATTTACTGCGGCCACATCATGTTGAAGTCCCATTCCCGATTAATTTGCTGTGTTTCACTGTAAACTTATATGTATTCAAGTGTATAATTAAGCTCACTTGTATCTCATTTCACACGCACACCTACTGTAAATCAGGCATCCTTGATATATTTTCTTTTTTTAGAAAACAATCTCACACAAAGCTAGGAGTCTGGTGTGGAGCTCTGAGACTAACAATGATCTACACCCTCTGAGCAACACACAGCTGCCACTAAGCAGAGCTGGCATCCTCTTAAATGGATGAGTGATCTGAGACAGTGCGTTTGTTCCTATATTGTAAATGTTTAAATCATTGTTGAGCTCTGAATGAGCAATAATAAACCATCATTGTGATCCTCACAATACTGAATGATGTGCATTAGCCAACGGGGAGCAGATTATATTGAGGAACTTATCACCATCTTCCCATTATCTAATACACAAAGTGCGAGGGGGGGGGGGGGGGGGGGGGGGGGTAGTGATTACGTCTAAGGCACATTTTACCCAGAACAATGGGAGCGGGTGTACCTCTGTTCATTTGTTGCTCAAAATGAACGAGGCGAATATATGCTATTGTCTGAGGTTATTGTAATGGTAAAATACAGTTTTTGTTAATGTAAATGATTGTAAATGACTCTTCTTTCAGACAAGAGCGAGGTTTTTGTATCCTTTACTGAGATAAATACCATCACAAATGAGGCTGGACTAAACAAAAGCAGAACAGAGGAAAAACAGGCAACTGTGATAGAGGGAGGGAGGGTTTTTGTGTACGCCTATTGTGTAATGTCTGGCAATGTGCTCGCGTGTTTGTTGTCGACTTTCACACCGACAACCACATTCTGACAGTCACACTGAACACAAACACACAATGTTACAGGACTGGAGATGAGACCAAATATTCTATATGATATATACATAAATAAAAATGTATAAATTTGCGTGGTGCAAAATATGAATGAAGGTAAAGTTACATCTTTAAATAACCCTCATTGTATAATATACTAGACAGATATTTTAAATGACCATAAATCTCTTAACAATTTAACAACATCTTTTTTTCTTCTTGCCTCCCTGCCTTTCTTCCTTGTTATTGCATCTTTAAGAGTGTTGAAGAAGCTGAAGCATTACCTAAAAATTATCAGCCTAAATACTAAAATCAATCGGTCGTCTTACATTTTTGCAAAGTGCTACAAATAAGCCCATGTTAGCTGATAACGTGCAAATGCAGGCACTGATCTTTCAGCAGATTTTGTGCTATCATGAACTGTCCATCAGTAAAAATAATAAGATTATGCCAAACTCTGAATGTGTATTTCCTTTTGGTAACTTCTACCTCTATATTTTCCCATAACCTCTGTGCTCTGTTCAATCGTGTATTGATGTAAACTTGGTCAAGGTTGTAGGGGCCAGCTGGTCAGCCTGTCGAACATGTCCAGATCATGTCTGCTGAACTGTCCAGAGAACACAGAAAGCTCTAATCCCTCGTTTGCATTGGAATCAATGCCATATTGATCACAGACTAATTATATAATCATACTAGTATTAATATCAGATGAAATTGATTTCCAAATACTCATTTGTTATATAAATGTAGTGCAGTTTTCTTCATAGAGGACCTTTCAATCTAAGGGTAAACACACAGAGTCTCCTTGTCATTGATCCCACTTTCATCTTGTCGTTGTCTTTCTGGCCAACGTACAGGTAATATATGCAAATTTAAAAAAGACCAAATGAAGGAAGCGATTTGAAGTCCGGCAATGAACTTCATTAGTCACAGGCATGCACACTTGAACATATAGATGCAGCACACACCTTCGCTCACACTATATGGACACACACATTCTCAAATTCACACATGCATACAGCCCCTTGGACATGTCTCATTAAATTCAGGTGAGCAGATTAATTAAAATGATATTTAAATCCCGCAGGAGTGTAATCTGCACTACTGGCGTGTGTGTCACACACACACACACACACACACACACACACACACGTGTGGCAGCAAAACAATGGCCAGGAATGGATGAGGGTGGCAAGATGTGCAATATGCAGGTAAGCAGAAACATATGTGTGACTTGTATGCACAAGCAAAGGGCATCTACGGGGCTACCCGAGTTCTGACCACATCTCCATATTATTCACTTTAATATTAGCAACAGTGAGAAATTCACACATTGCTTGAAACTAAAGCTGAAATTAAAATGCTTAAGTGTAAAGAGCTTTCAGTACAAAGCCTTTTATATTTAGCTGATGTGACCTTGTGTGTCCCTTCACAACCCCCTCCCTGCCCCAGCTCATCCACTCAGCCTTCTCATCCACAGCACTGACCTTAACTGCAGCTGTAATTGGTGGACCAGAGGTACGCTTTGTTAGCCTTCTGTAA